GAATATGCAGCTGACGGAGGAGGAGTGGGACAAGATGGTGTCTGCGGACGGGCAGCCGGTGCACTTTGGGCGGCCCGGGTGTCTGAAGCGGGAAGATGGAAGCATCCCCGAGGGGTTTGACGAGGGGAGGGTGTTTGCGCCGTCGCTGCAGCGGGACTCGGCGACCTGGAAGTCGATCGAGGACGGGCTGAAGCTGTTTGGCTTCAAGGAGAGCGAGGTGATCAACGTGGTGCGGATCCCGATTGTGGTGCAGGCGGTGCGCGAGGGCGTGCAGCAGCTGCCGCTGGAGGACTCGCGGTTTGTGAAGCGGCCGCATGCGCTGGTGGCTGTTGCTGGGGACGCGGCGATGACGGTGCACTTCTGGCCTGGTCGAGGACTGAATTCCGGCATCAAGGCGGGCATCGCGCTGGGCGACGAGATCATGCACGCGCTGAACCTGGGCAAGTTTGTCGGGCTGGAGCTGGCGGCCATGAAGGAGTACAACGACTTCATCATGAAGCTGCAGGGCCGCGAGCACGACAAGCGCAGCATCCCTATCCTCAACCAGTCCGGGTCGCCCGAGATGCTGGGCTGGCTGCTGAGCAAGGCGCAGTCGGTCCCCGACAATGTCGCGCTCGAGTGGCTCGTGGGGGCCATGACGCAGATCGCTGACCGGCTCGAGAAGCGCGGCGACTGGCACTTCCCCGCCGAGGCCAACATCGAGCCGCAGATCCGCATCGTGCTGCGCCAGATGCACAGCCTGACCCTGCGCGAGATGGCCGTCAGCTTCCCCTGGCCCACCCGCGAGATGGCCGGCGCCGAGGTCCTGCCCGTGCGGTCCATGAAGCCCGAGGAGAAGCAGAAATGGCTGCAGGGCCTGTTCAGTCTGCTAAGTGTTGAGAGGTTGAAGGAGGCGGCCGATGCAAAGGCCAAGGCGAAGCTCAGCCCGGGGCAGAACGCGTCGAGTGCGAGGTTCGAGGCGCCGCGGGGCCAGACCGGCAAGCCGAGGACGGCTAGGTCGCCGTCGCCGAATCCCATGGCCCGCCTGACGCTGCAGGAATCGCCTCCGCCTTTGAGTGCTGGGATCAACCCCAGTCCACTCGAGCCGACGGCCAGCTTGCGTCGGAGCAACGCCACCACACGCCAGACGCAGAACCCGCGGAAAGCCGGCGCTGGTGATACCCTATCGGTGCCTGGGCGCATGAATGGGAATGGGACTGGAGGCAACTACGACTTGAGCGACGATGGAGGCAGTGGTGATGAGTCCATTTTTACAGCGCGGCAGCCGCGGTCGAGAGCGCCCAGCTTCAGTGGCCCGCTGGGAGACGATGGTGGTCTTACGAGACTGCTCAGCGTCAAGCGGCCCACGGGCTCCGTTCTCTCGGACGCCATGTCGTTGGCGCTGTTCCGGGTTGGCGAGGAGTAGGGAGGCTGGGAGAGGTAGAGAGAGTTTGCATCTAGATAGAGTTGGTAGAGCAACCTTAAGAGCTTGGGTTGATAAAGGGGGTGTTGACCTCAGAATGTTACCTACATAGTTGGAGGCAACCTAATCAAACCTTTGAAATGCCATGGAAAAGTTTGTCTAGGTACTCTTGATCACATGAATTCTTGAGGGTTTGATTCCAGGGCCCCAAACCCTATCGATGGCCAGGAAAGTACCAGAGAGAAAAGGAAGGACCACCCCGACCTGAACACGTCACATCTCCCACCGAACCAAACCGTAAATTCATGTCCCAAACATCTCATCATTTCGCTCTCGACCAAGCAACCCACATCAGCCGTAACATCAGACAACATGGCAACCTCGGCCCAGACATCCCAGGGCCTTCTCAAGGCCCTGTCCATAATCCTCCTAATCACCACGATAACCTTCCTAACCCCCGCTCCAACGATCTTCGCCAAAGCCGAGTCCCTCGCCTTCTCCCTCCTCAACCTCGACCACCTCCAATCAACGGCCTTTCGAGTCTTCCCCCTCCCCGAGATCCACGCCCCCAACACCCCAGCGTACCGGGTCGAGAGCATCCATCTCATTATCGCCCTATTCCAAGCTCACTTCCTCTACTACTTCTCTAACCAGTCCATGGCTGGGTACCTCGTTCACCGGGTCGTCGGCTACCCCGGCTGGCCGCCTGTGGTCCTTGTCGTCAACTTTGCCCGCGTCTGGCTGGCGACGGCGGCGATAAATTCCGGGATTGAGCAGGTTTTTGCGGAGCACTCGCACTGGGATGGGTTCTGGCCGTTGGCTTTCAAGCTTTGTATCGTGTCGTTTCTTATTTAGTTGAGGGGGAGGGTGGGGAGAGATGAGGCAGATGAGGATATATTTCGTGGTGTGTGGCGCGCGATTGTGGGAGAAAAGGGGCTGGGTGATGATTATGTGCACGCCTTCAAGGAAAACACAAGACGTCTCCTTGTGGACTTTTGGTCGGTTGGTGTCCCTGCGGATCTTGCAGGCAAAGATGGACTATTTACTAACCTGGAAGATACTATCTAGGTCATTTCTATTAGCAGGTAATGGGCTTGTATGTCACAGCCTCCTTTCAAGCAAATCAACAAGTATGTTGACAAACTCCTAGCAAGACACAAACTTGAATCCCAAGAGTGCATCCCACCAGAACCGCCCACGGCGAAACAAAACTTGCCAAAGCCCATCCAGAAACTCGGCATTGAACAACCCAATGAAAAATCAAAGAGTCTCGCATGTACCTAGTCTAATATCTCTCAATTGCGCCATCACGGAACTACAAACGTGCCTGACCCTCGAAAGCTCGATCGACCCTCTTTAATACAACGTTTCATATAGATCCCGTATCTGCATAATAATCCTCCACGCCCAGCTTAGCCGCCAAGCGGCAAGCACATAGCACCCAGGTCGCTTATCAGCTCACTGAAATGGGGAATTTGAAAGAGAATGCACGCCGCGCTGACCCACCTCACTTTGTGAAAATCAATTTCCCCGGATCTAGATTGCCAGCGGGCGCGCTTCAGGTTCTAGATGAGGTCGCATCGAGGCTTTTGCAGATCGCCAAGGCCAACAGGGCCCTTGCCGCCTCCTCCGCGCAGGCTCGATCCGGCCGTGGTCAACTCAATGGAGCATGCGGCTCCCTCCCTGCCTAGACGCAGATATTGGGGAAACCTGGGTTCCCGGCCCGGATCAACGGCTCAAGCTTCCACACCCAAGCAACTTGGCAGATTAATCCGCACTCTGCTCCCGCCTCGGCTCTTCTCGTTCGCGAACTGTTGCCGCGGCGTGCAATTATTTGCTCTCTTCCGCCCTTGTTGGGGGATTGCAGTGTTTGCCGCAATTACTTGGTACTATTACCTCAGGTACCTGCATGTGCGGCCTCTTTACGCTCGCCGAGTCCCTTGGTCTGCCAGGCTCCGCCTTTATGCGTGCAGATTGGCTTTCCCCGGAGGAGGCAAACGGAGATGGATATGACGAGCTCGAGCAAGTGGAGCATGCCGTGCATCGCGTGGGTGTATAAGACGCCCATCAACCGGCAGACACGAAAACAACATCTGAGTCTCTTCATCGCTACTCCCTCCTAACCATCCCCCCCACAGTCGTCAACATGCGCATCACATCTCTAATCGCCACGCTCTCCGCGGTGGGCGCCGTGTCGGCCGCCCCCAGCCGCAAGTGGAAGTGCTCCGTCAACACGACCAGCGACAACCCGTTCGAGGGCAAAACCCTCTTCGCCAACCCCGGCTGGGCTGCCAAGCTCGAACAGACCTACGACGCCTTCACCACCGCAGGCGACGCCGCAAACGCCGCCAAGGTGCGCAAGGTGCAAAAGATCGGCACCTTTGTCTGGATCGCCGACATCGCCGGACTAGCCAACATCGACTCGGCCATCACAGCGGCGCGCGAGGCGCAGGCCAAGACAGGCGAGAAGCAGATCGTTGGGCTGGTGCTCTACAACCTGCCCGACCGCGACTGCAGCGCAGGTGACAGCGCAGGCGAGCTGAGCAGCGTCAACAACGGCCTCGAGCGGTACAAGAAGGAGTTCATCGACCCGTACGCGGCTAAGGTCTCCTCCGCGCCCGACCTCGACTTCGCCATCGTGCTCGAGCCCGACTCGCTCGGCAACCTGGTGACCAACATGGCCGTCGACTTCTGCGCCAAGGCAGCGCCAACCTACCAAGCCGGCATCGCCTACGCCATCGCCAGCCTGCAGTTCGCCAACGTGCATCTCTACCTCGACGCCGCGCACGGCGGCTGGCTGGGCTGGGACGGCAACCTCCCGCTCGCGGCCAAGGAGTTCTCGACAGTCGTCAAGCTAGCCGGCAACGGCACCAAGATCCGCGGCTTCGCGACCAACGTGTCCAACTACAACCCGTACAACGCCACTGTCCGCGAGAACTACACCGAGTGGAGCCACAGCTGGGACGAGTCGCACTATGCCTCGTCGCTGGCGCCCTTTCTCGATGCCGAGGGCCTGCCCGCGCACTTCATCGTCGACCAGGGGCGCGTCGCCCTCAACGGCGCCCGCAAGGAGTGGGGCGAGTGGTGCAACGTCGAGGCCAGCTTCGGCCCTGCGCCGACGACTGTCACGAACAACACGTATGTGGACAGCATTGTGTGGGTTAAGCCTGGTGGCGAGAGCGACGGGCTGTGCGGGCTCGCGGGGGCGCCGAGGGCGGGCCAGTGGTTTGAGGAGTACACTGAGATGCTGGTCAAGAACTGGAGCGGGAATTAGACGTGGATGTGGTGGTGGGATGACGCATGTAGACTAAGAACTAGATTAAAAAGACTTCTTTATACATACATAAAGGTACCAGGTATGTTTGTGAAGGTGTGAAATGATTTTGAAGCTTGCGTGCTAAAAAGGGGCTTCCCACCGTGACCCATTGTTGACTTTCAACCCTCTGGCCCCTATTATCTCCAACCCTGGTCCTGCACCCACCCTGCCGAAATCTCGCTAAGACTCCCAACACAACATCCATCAACATGCTCCATCCCCAGCCAAAAAAGTAAGAAAACGAAAGAAACAAGCACCTGCACACTGCAGTACCTATCGAATTGCCCGACACTGGGATTGAACCAATGACCTTCGCATCTCCCGGGTTAGGGTTACAGTACAAGTGCGACGCTACTACCACTGAGCTCGACGGGCCTCTTTAATATCCAAGCAAGCCGCATGTTTGCCTTGTTCACGATACCCGGACAACAAACAGCTTTTGGAACAACGCACACAAAACAAAAGGGAAGGAGACAGACCACCAGAACGGCAAAAGTGAAATCTCATTGCCCGACACTGGGATTGAACCAATGACCTTCGCATTACAAGTGCGACGCTACTACCACTGAGCTAGACGGGCTGTTGGGATGTTGAGGAGGGCCGGATCTGAGGCTTATGGCGTTGTGAATAGAGCGGGTTTCTGGTGTGTTTGTCGTCGGTTGTTGGCTTGGTTTGGTTCTGTTGCTGGATAGGTAGCCTGTGGTGAATTAGATTAGGTTTGTGACTTTGCGTTATCGAGAGGATGCCTGTCTCCCTTTCGATGGGGTGCTGTGTGGTGTGCTCTTGTTCTCTTTTATTCTTTTCTTCATACCTTGGTCGTAAGTTTACAAACGAGCTACCAATGTGTTTACCATTGAACTGGGGGCTGTGAGCTTGGTATTAGGGGGGCTGGGTGCTAGGCTTACGCTGTTGTATGTGTGAAGTAGTTTGTGGCTCTGCTCTGTCTTGGGATCACTGCGTGGTCCTGTTACTTTGACTCGACGATGATACTAGTAGTATGCGCTCTGATTACGTGGAAGCAAGAGCATATGGTTTCTTCCAGTCCTATTTGTTCATCTTCGATCTTGGACTGAAACGGTGTCACCACGAACTGCTATCTGGTCTGGATTGTTCATTCCCATTGAAGGAGAAGCGAAGTTACTGTATAATGAGTGTCCGAAGCTCGAGAGCGCCCATATCCACCTCCAAGAACAGTAACGAGAACCTTGAACCTTGCGCCCACAACACAAATAGAAAATCACAAATTTCATATGCCCCTATTCGTTATTGTCCATCATTACCATCCAGTCCCATGAGATAGCAAGCCATCCGTCAATCAACAATAACTTCCCCCTCCTCTACCAGTGAGTTCATGAACTTGACATCCGAAAAACACCCCTTCTCGCACCGGTTCACTGGTAGCATCTTCGTCTGGTACCCCAGCTGACTGCTCAGGGCAGTGAACGCGAGCCTGGCCATCCAATTTCCCCTCGTCCTTGCGATGACTGGATTCGACGGCTTGTCCAGAAGCTCGTACCAGTTCTCGACAGTTCTGATTCTGTTTTGGAAGTCCCCTGCCACTTCTCCCGTTGAGTTGTTCGCAATTGCTTTTGCCTTTGCCTTTGCCTTCTTCTTCTTCTTCCTCTTCTCCTTCCCTACCGCCTCCCAGTCGGCCGGATCACCCATCGGCAATACTCCATGGGGGCACGCTTCCGGGGTCCTGGTGACGAGCAGGTTCATAGTGACTGCTTTTTCAATGTCGATGTCCCCAAACCACGTCCCATTGTCGTAGATGCTGACTGCGGCCTCCTGGAAAAATGTTTGGATGTCTCTCGCGCCTTGGTGCTCGACCACGTATGGGACGCGGTACTCGGTCAGCCAAAGATGGAGGGATGTTTTGTTGAAAAGGCCGACTTGGCTGGACCCGTCCCATGGCTCGTGGGTGACGACGTTCCAATTGTTGGTCTTAAGCTTCAAGATGCGGGGAGACGGCGGCGGAATAAGTAGTGAAACACCGGGCTTTCCGACGTTGCCGAGCACGCGGATGAGGTCCTTAACTCTGAGATCATATGGGTCAGAGCTAAGACAAGCGGATGCGTAGATGGAATCCCCGATCGCCATCGCCATCACGTTTGACAGCTGGTTTGGGTCAAGATCCTGGTCGCCAGTCTCCATCATGGCAATGCACGCAAATGCAATATTCTTTGGCATCCTGAGATGAGACCGAAAGACATCATCGCCACTTCCTTTTTCGATCTTATCATCGGGATATACTTGATGTTTCCACAATGATTGGGCCCATATTTGATCACAGATCCTGCCTGTGATGGCTTCCAGAGAGATGGTTGCCGTGCCGAGACTTTCATAAAGTTCGGCCATGCACCCCAACAGCCACAGCGGCTCTATCCGGGGGCTTGTGAACCGTGCGAAGTTGAGCGGAGCCGTTTCGAGAAGGCGTAAAATATCATCAGTGTCGAGATGATAATCCTTCATGGTTGGCTTCTTCTTGTCCGCCAACCAAATCGAGCCCCTATCAAGTTCAAGCACCTGGATTCTCAACGTGTCGAAATCCCCAAGGAGACGACCGCCCCAGAATGGGATCTCCCATCTCGTTTCCACCTCGGTCACGGAAACGGACTGCCCAACAGGGAACATCTGGGCCAGAACATCGTTTGGTTTTCCAGCCTTGTACGCCGCTGCTCTGGCTTCTGCAAGTGGGCGCCAGACGACTTTGAACGACCCGCCGCCTTCATTGTGGACTTCCCATCCCAAGTTTTCCGGCATTTCATCTGTGTGCTCCGCGCTTTTCGTGTCGCTCTGTCGGAGTGCCGTCCTGTCGTGCCAGCGGTAGTACTTTTTCCCGTTTTGGGGATCCGGAAAACATGTTGCCCACCAATACTTCTGATCTTGACACCACATGATGATATAGTCTCTGCGCTTGTTGGCCTGCGGACCGGCGAACTCCTGAGCAACTTGGCGTATGAAAGAGATTTGTGCCTCTCGCTGGCCATCAAGTAAGCTGAGAATTGTTTCTGGTCGTGACAGTCCGAGCGTTTGTATGTCCCAGGTCAACAGACCTGAATCTGAGCCACTCAAAAAGGCCGAGCAACGTCGAATGCCAAATTCGAATAACCGCCTCGCGGAGATCTTTTCCTTGCCCCTGAGGGTCGACAAGGTCGTCGCCGCAGCCGCCAGGTACTTGATCCACCGAATCTGCTCGGCATTCGACTTTGTTCCCGCCGCGGCCTTGATCTTCTCCCAAAGCTTGGTGTAGTATTCGCATATGGTTGCTGCACGGTCGCCACTATAATCAGGCAATAGACTGGCTAGGCATCCAAGAATTACAATCATCAGCTGCTCCAGTGATACCCTCTGGTTTGTCGAATCCAGCGTTCGAGTCACAGTGACGGGGTCTCCGTAAAACCGTAGCTTAGCGAGTGGTAATGACCAGCAAACCCCCTTATCCGAATCAGGGGATCCCTGGAGTCCAACAGTGAGAAGCCCACCGCTCTTGACAAGGGGGTCGTTTTGGTTGATCTCCTTCGCTCCATTGATGTACACCATCATGTCGGGGTAGATGTGCCAAGAGGACAGACCGACGAGGGCTGCGCCGTTGTGGATAGCCTGAGGCATGCCGGCAACTAGACTGTCGACAATCTTCATGGACTCGAACCACGCATCCATCACACTCTCATAGGTATCCTGTGTGTTGTTCACGGCCACGCCAAGGTTGTCGACAATAAGCCGCAGCTGGGTCTGCTGCTTGGACATGGATTTGTCTGCGGTCCGCAGCCAAGCCCTCGCGCTGGCGTCCCATTCAGCGAGCTGATCGCGCGAGAGGGTCGCCTGCATGGCTGCCAGTGCCGGAAAGTCAAAATCGCCATCTCCAGCTGAAAGCTCGCGCTTCCTGCTGTCCACAATCTCCACCCATATCGAGGTTGCTTCTTGGGGCGCCCAGAACCTAGCAAGGACGCAGGCGAGAAGCTGAACACATAGCGCTTCGGAACCAGAGGTTGCCGCAGCCCAAATAGACGTTCCGTCGATGCCAAGTTTGTCTCCGAGAAGGGACGACTGGGCAAGCTTCTGGGGATCTTTGACAGTGCTCTCGGCTATCTCGGAGACTCGCTCCCCATAGGCTTTGATCAAGCTGGGCACTGCGGGGAGTTTACTCCTGAACAAGGCGCCAAGTTTTCGAGCTGTGACGTGATGCGATCCGCCCTCTGCTTGTTGGCGTCGCTCGTTTGAGAGAGAGGAGCCGAGGGCAGAGAACTCTACTGGGGCTTGGACTTTGTAGAGCGAGAAGTCAAAGTTGAGAGCTGCCAACGCGACAGTGTTTTCCTGCGAACCTGCAAAGAGCAAAGCCGTGAACCGGCTAATGGCTGAGTCCATCGCGGGATGGCGTAAGAGAAGGGCCCCGCAAATGATGGCGCGATAAAAATCCCTGAGCTGGAATCTTGAGATGAAACTGGGCTAGGTTGAGTTGCTTGGGCAATGCGGGTGAGAGGGAATCTGGATTGTGGCGAAGCAGTCAAATGAGTACGCAGTGAGCAAAAGCAAGGCTGCCAACGGCGACCGTGGGAGGCAACCTGATTGGCAAGAGACGATGCGGGGGCCATTGATGTGCATGCACACAGCCCATCCTGCTGGGATGGCATGTCTTCGGCTCAGCTCGCGAGGGAGCACACAGCTGAACTAGCGAGCGCTGAGAGTGGTTCGTTGTGGCAGCACGCCCGGCAATGGTCGAATCCCGCTCCTCAAGAGGTCAGTCCCTTTCGAACTGAAGGCCTCTCATCAGCACATAGCTACTACAAATTCTTCATTCGCATCATGGCTTTTCTGAATTGAGGCCACAAGCGGCATGGTGGCTGCAGCCTTGCTGATCGCGTGTTTTAGGCAGGAGTCCAACAATCCTGGTTGTGCCAGCAGGAGGAGCTGCCTGGTTCTGGTGGTACGGGCGCTGACCGGCTGGGTCTTTTCTTCAGAAATGTCGAGCGCAGCCCATCAACAGTCGTGACGAACACACTGGTCAAGTGTCCGGGTGGTGATGGGCGAGCTGGTTTTGAGGTCGTCGCTGCTGTTGGAGTTTGCGTCGCCTCCAAGTCGCCAATCCCTTGTACTTTGCTGCGCTGCAAGGTTAGTGCTGGCGGTCAGTCAGGGGCCAACAGCAAGGTAACCAGATCTCGTCTTCTGGGTCTCCCTTCCGTATACCTCTGCTCAAATGGGGCCGGCTGGCTTGATTCTGTCGGTGCTCGAGAGTGATGCATTGATGTCTGTATCTTCACGGCCAGTCCTCTGGCGCCTTCCCTGGTATATACATGGCAATCGTAGCGTGCCCGCCAGTCTCCCACCAGCAGTGGGCTGCTTTCTCAGTTGCTCCGGGCACCGCCCTTGGCTGC